GAAGAGTCGGAGCGAGTTCTGGCAGAAAGCGGGGCATTCCAGGACTTCGTGAGTTCCGCGTGCAATTCGGGCAAGAAGGGCGCGGCCCGTTTAGTGACGGGAGTCGAGCGCTGGCGGAAGTAGCTGCCGTCCATACGGTTGATGGTCTGCTCGGGGGGAAGAGACCAATCGAGCCCGAGGCGTTCGACGGCCTGTGAGAGGAGGCGCACTAATTCCTCCTCAATTCCAGCACGGGTCCCAGAGGATTCTCGGGCCGAAGAGGCGTGAGAATCGGACCATTCCTCACTGTCTGAAGCGAGAAGCGAACATGTTTCCTTGATGTCTGCGGCGTCATCGGAGGCGACAGAGCGGCCACTCGGCGGCAACTGTATGTCCGGAAGCGGCGGAGAAGGAGAGCGGGAGGCGACAGGCTCCGGCGGGATGAACGCTTCTGGCTGGGGTTCCGGCGGCCTCTGAGAGCGGCGTTTCTTCTTACGCGGCGAAGTCAGAGGCGGCGCGAAAGCAACTTTAGTGGCCTGAAGTCGAGCCCGCAGGGTTGACAACGGCATCTCCTCGCAGAGATCGCAGCCGCCATCGGCGAGGGCGAGCTCGGCGTGTTCCAATCTGAGACAGAGAGCGCAGATGACGTGGCGGTCTCCAGTCTCGAGGGGAGCGCGGCAAGAACCGCAGGAGGAAAAACGAGACATCTTTACAAAGACGCTCGGCTCTTTTAGATACAATACACACAATACAGGAAGCTTTTTGGTAAAAGGATATAAATCCGTCGGATGGCGCTAGCTTGCAGGACGGCTGAAGGTGGCGAAGACGGCCGGCTTCCTCAGTCTCCCAGATGCTCGCTAGAAGGTGCCTTTTCAACGACGGCGGCTTCTCTCAGGATCAGCAGATGCGTGTAGCCTCGCTGAAGAGATGAAAATCAGAGTTTGCAGCCTGAGAGGCGAATTTATACTCTCTGGCCACGCCCGTTTCGGCGGGCCCTGACGCAATGAGAGCAGGTCAGACTCTCATTGGCCGAGAGTTCATTCGCGTCTCCTCATAGGCTTAAGCAGTTCCCTGTGAGCGAACCAATGAGCTGCTAGCTAGCCTGCTCATGGTCTGCTGCAGCTGAACTGCGTTGACAATGGATACAAAATTATAGGATAATTTTTTGGCTTCAATTTCTCAGAAAAGGTTAATCTTTCCCGCTGCGTAAGCTAGCTTACGCAATACGAGAGAACCTATCGTAAGAGAACCCGTCAGCTGAAGTTGTGTGTCTTCATACCCTTCCACATCTGTTACATGTACCCACAAATTCATAAACCGTGCCCACGCTTTCGAAATCCGTTCCATGGGTTTGTAAATTGTACTCTCGGGTTTGTGGCTCCTCCCCCAGTCTGGGCCGGCTGATTCAACCAGGACACCTGTTTAGGTGCGGGATGCATTGCATTGGTTTAAACTTAATTTTTTTAAGTATATAATTTCTTGAATTTTCTATCTTTAAAGTCCACTTTTTTGGGAGGAAAAAGCTCAGTATAATAGAATAAGCAAAAAAAGACTTCACATATAAAAAAGAAATATAACACAAACACAAGGTTAGGTTATATAAAAATAAAACATTCATAAATTATTTTATGATTAACATATTACTGTCTTAAAGGGGTCATATAATGCCTTTTTTATACAAGTTATTATGATTCTTTAGTTAAACACTCAACTGTGTGCAACTGTATCTATTAGATTTTTTGACATTACTTCTTAATCAGTAACAGACACCGTTATAAACCATCTACAAAAGTAAGCTTAGTGTAGTGTTACCACGTTAACTTTAACACCTGCGTACACAGTATACAATAACCATAACGCGTTGTTCATTATAAACGTGGGATTATGAATTATGTTGAGAACGTCGTACATAGAAAACATGCCGTAATGTACAGAGTGTAAACCTTAGCCACATTCATCGTGAAGCGTGCAAGCGATTTGCAAAGATTAATATAAAGGGTAATAAAACTTTACACTCACTTCTTCTGGAGGTTCAGCAGGGACATGAATAGATGGTTCCGATCCTTTATTCAGGAGCAGCTTCTTAGCAAAACCAGCTCATACTGACCCTCGTTTATAAAGCAGTCTGGTCAGAAATGATTCGCGCAAACATGAACGCATTGACATTGATCGTGGGGAATATTCCCTTCGAAAACAAAACTCAGCCACTGCGTCTTCAGCGTTTCGGATTTAGGAACATTAAAATGACTGTGTTCGTTATTACACCCAAGAACAGAACACCACGATCGCTTAGACGCCATTCTGCTCATAGACAGTGCTCCAGCATATCAACAATGGCGGGCTATGATGACAGCTCGCTCAGGGCGGGTCTGTGTGGAAACGCTGCTGTCAATCAACAATCGTGGGAGGGGCTTCCGACCGTGTGACGTCACACGGTCAGACGGCTCGATTTGAGGCAGGGGAAAACATATAAGGAGATTAAAACAAAAACACTGGATGGATTTTTATCATTATATGATGGTTGTGTACAGGCACTGCCAACACACATTTCAGTACAATCAACTTGTAAAAGTGCATGTACCATTATATGACCCCTTTAAGTGAACTCATTTATAGTTATAAACGCAAATAATAATAATAATCATTATTAATATTACATTTAGGCTACATATTTAGAAGAGCTTTTATCCAAAAAGGAACAAAGCAATTCGTCAAATGTCAGTCATAATACAGGTTAGACAATACTAATACAGGACTGAGATTATCACAAATAAACACAACGCAAACACTTGCATTTCCTATCAACAGTGGAAACAACTTAAAATAGTCTTTTTATAATTTCTGGTCATACAGAAAAGAATAATACATCATTCGCAACTACTTTTATTTGTGTAAACTCACAATAACAAGAAAACGTTGTGCTTTTGTAAAATAAAATAAAACAATCCGGCGCGCTTTCATGATCTCCGTGAACTGGAGCGCGAGAACTGAAACAAAATATCGCCTAAGCTAAAGCTTGAAATGTCCACTTTAAAACAAATTCGAATCGAAAGCAAATACCGTCTGATTATGTAATCCGTATGAAAGGTGCGCTTTACAGCGGAGATGGAGATTTGCAGCCAACACTGATTTAGAAAACACTAGTTTATTAATAAACGGTTAAAATGCCTTGTTATTTTTTCAGACACATTTATTATCATTAGCCTATAAATCAGCTCTCTGTATGGTTCCAGAGACATAGCTCTTATCATTCCGCTGTGTGTGTGTGTGTGTGTGCAACCCTACATTATAGGGTCAAAATGTCCCCACAAAGATGGCAATATCCGAAATCCTTGTGGTGATTTTTTTTTTTTTTTTTTTTTGGAAAACAGCTTATAAATCAGACTAAGTGATGTTTTTTGAAAATTTTGAAAGTTTTCTGTGATTAGGTAGGGTTAGAATACACAGTTTGTACAGTATAAAAATTATTATGTCTATGAAAAGTCCCCATAAAACATGAAAAAAATAACATTGCTTGGTCTTGTTAAAATGAGAGGCCTGTTTGATCAAGTTGAAACCCTTGTCCTCCCAGTCTCATCAGCTGGACTGAAAGAAGTTTCAGCACTTAGGACACTGAAAACATGTCTCAGAGTAAAGGCCACAAGTGACACTTGACAGTATTGATGTGAAACATATATGCCAACCTTTTAATTTCTGTTAAAGGGATAGTTCACTTATTTAAAAATTCTGTCATCATTTACTCACTCTCAAGTTGTTTCAAACCAGTTTCTTTCTTCTGCTGAACACAAAAGAAGATATTTTGAAGAATGTCGATAACCAGACAGTGGATGGACCTTTAATGGTATATGGTTCTTTAATGTATTTGCAATGTACTAAAATTGAAATAAAACTGAAATTCATTTTCTATGGGCATATATGCGGCTGAAACAGGTAGGCTAATGCGTCCCAAATTTTTCAACATTAACATTTTAATATAACATTATAGTCATTATGGCCTTCAGAATTTTTTTTTTTTTTTTTTTGAGTAGGTGGTAGTGCACTGTAGGCCCCTGTGGCGCGGCCTAAGCTTTTGTCCTGGCATCATTTTCCCCCTTACATTACTTTTACTTTTATACTTTAAGTAGTTTTGAAACCAGTATTTTTACACTTTTACTTTAGTAAAAAGCTTGAGTTGATACTTCAACTTCTAGAGAAGTCTTTTAAAACCCAAGTATCTATTCTTCTACCCGAGTAATGAATGTGAATACTTTTGACACCTCTGATGGAATCTGGATATTGGACAGCAGATTGAACAGGACTTTTATTTTGGTCTGGCGATATGACATCATAAAGCTGCGTCGTGCTCCTGCAGCTGTTGTGATAAGACTGAAGGAAGGTTTGTGGTTTTAAGCATTTAAAGTTTTTAAATCGATACACATCGATTTGATCGTTTTAACAAGAGGTATGTGGCCATGTAAACATATTTGTAAAATGCTTAATGTAACAATATTGAGTTTTTGTGTGAGTAGCCTATAGCGTATTTGAATATGAGTTACAGAAAAGTTGCACGTCTCATTTCGTTTCGATTACTATCGTGTATCAGTTGATCGTAAACACGAATTCGGGTTTGGGAAAGTGGTGATGGAGAAACGGAGTCAATTAAATCTAATGCTTTGTCAAATGACTCACTGATTCAAAGCGCTTGAATCTTGTTGCTTAAAAGTGAAAAATACAACGAAACAAATATTATTATTAATAGTGATAACTCTAATGAATTGCAAATGTTTTCATCACGATGTAATCTGTTAAACCTACAAAACATTAATTATTAAGTGTCTGTATAATTTGTTATTTTATTGTAGTGCTTGTTGAGTGATTTTTGTCTGGTCAGTTGATTTAAGTCCATGAACTCTCTCTCTGACTGACTCCTCACCAGTGCGCTGAACTACTGAACTACAGCTGATTGAGACGCACACAGAGATTTACTGTGGATTTATTTCTCTTTCTGTTAATTATTCTCATCTTAAACATGACAAATTTGTCCAAACACAGGAAAACTGGAGAAACATCTGAGATCCACGTGACGCTATTATAAAGATGGCGTTGATTAAACAGGAGAGTGAAGACATAAAGATTGAAGAAGTGTTCAGCGTGAAACATGAAGATACTGAGGAACAAACAGGTTAGTTTCATTCAGTCCTTATTATAACATCAGGGAACTTTTGCTCTCGGGGTGGGGTCCCCCTACAGTTGGGAAACAGTATTGTCCTCTACTACTGTCGTAAACTCTGTCATCCTACATGCACGTGCAATTGTTGACAACCAGGATAGCCCTGAACACTGTAGGAGGAGGTCACATGCAGGTGTTCTGCTTGCGTCGCGTGTGAAATGTCTTCATCCCAGGTACAGTGGCATATATTTCAGCATGTCATATGAATATAATTTCATGGGTTTTTTATTTTTTTTCTAACGACAAATGATCGCGATGATCACGTTTACAAGCCAGCGTCATTATAGTAGCCTAGTCAATTGGTTACCGTTTTACTGAATCTATATGATACTTCAATGCAATGTTTGAGTGGTTGATAATAACCATATATCGTCTATATTATAATATCAAGCTACCATAAATGAATCTGCAAATTTTACAAATCGATTTGCATTATAGCTTGAGGCGAGACAAATAAACAAATATCACAGACATGCTAGGTATCCTAAAATATGATTTTGTACATCTTATATATGTACTTGCAAGAATGTAGCCCCTACCAAACTTGTACACGCCGTTTAGACATAGGCTTTCATTTGATTTTTTTTTTTGCCAAGTCCGCATCGGTCGGGCACCCCTCCTCCTCCTTCAGCTCACGCCATCGAGAAAAGGCTGGCCCAATGTTAATCCTCTTTCTGCCTTTAACGCGATCACTTTCTCTTTTTCTCTTTTTGCTTTGCTCCGATAAAACCTTTGCTTTCTTGTTTTTCTGTGCTGCTTCGGCCATGACTATAACATTTGGCTCGCACGTCCGATTTTAAGGAAGTGGTGGTGGAAGTGACGTATATGCCGTAAAGCAGTCGAATTTTGTAGTTCTCTTTGTTCGCCGGTTACTACCCGAAACCCGAAGTTTAAAAGTACGATTAAAAACGCTACAGACCCCGTCAGGCTATGGCAGACGTGTCATTCAACCTATTGTAAGTCGATGTACCATCACAAGAGACTTGGAAATATATTAAGAAGGTTGAAAAGTAACCTTGTGCTGTTTTAAAATGATCTACAGAAATGAATGATATTTCTGAAGAATGTCATATGAGTGTCCTAATTAAAGCGGTTTTATTTGACATGGAGAGGGTCTTCTCATGTGGATAGACATGTTGAGGTCACATGACCAGACAATTGGAAATAAAGTGTTTCCGCATGATCTTTAGAGGACCTGTACACTTGCATTAGATGTATTATTTATATGGATTATAAATCTCTGTGTTGATCCGAAGAAAGGAAATCATACACATCTGGGATGGTATATGTAAATGATGAGAGAACATTAATTTTGGATGAATATCCCTTTAAAGGCACACAGGAATGCAGGAATTCCATTTTTGTCAAACAGCGACCCCTAGAGTCACTGTGGAGTACTTGTATTTAACGTTACTGTCGTAAATACCACTCACGCAGAGTGTGACGTGTTACATAGTATACAATAGTACATTGTGTTTAATTTGTCGTTTAATGAGATCTAATATATGTTGTTAGTGGTGAGAATTTTCATGTAAATAAATACATAGATCCGACTATTATCCCCTATAGAGTCTCTCCGCAACCGATTGAAGCGCGCGTCCGTGTGAAGACTGTGCGAGTCACACCAGAACACTGTATCCGCGACGGAAGAAGCGTGCGGTCAGATGTGCGCGCGGTTAGCTCTCTCTACAGTACAAGAGAGCTACCGCATCTTCCCCTTCTGCACGTCACGCAGAGCCCTCTCCGTGACTCGGACACAATCATGCTTGCACCCCCCATCCCCCATCCCCCCATCCCCCCACACTGCACCCTCGCACCCTCCCGTTTCACAACGGCGGGGTTAGAGTATCAACGAGCGTTCAAAAACAAGTGAGCCCACGCCGGCCCCGCCCCGCGTGACTCACATTCTACATTGAGAGACCTTTTACATCAGGCCCCGCTGTAAAGCTCTACTGAAACGGCTCTTGTAAAAGTGCTCAATGACATTTTTTTAGCCACTGAATCTGGAGACTCAGTAGCATTGGTACTTCTGGACTTAAGTGCTACATTCGACACGGTAGACCATAATGTCCCGCTGTCTCATTTAGAACACATAGTGGGCATCAGAGGCCCAGTCTTACATTGGTTTCAGTCTTATCTAACAAACAGGAGGTTTTCAGTTAACTATGGTAACTATCGATCTTCTTCCATAAAGCTGACGTGTGGAATTCCTCAAGGCTCCACAGAAAATATGACTTAAGTTATCACTGTTATGCAGACGACACACAAATATATATTTCCTCTTAAACATAAAAATAGTTTAGAACAGATGGCTGCCTGCCTTGAGGATGTTAAAGCATGGATGTCGCTGAATCTTTTAAGTCTGAATGAAAGTAAGACTGAGGTTATGGTGTTTACATCTTTTAGTGTACATAACACAACAAATGTAAATCTTGGTGCTCTGGAACCTTATGCTAAGCCATATGTTAAAAACTTGGGTTTGGTATTGGATAGTGCCCTAAAGCTTGATAGACAGGTAAATCAAGTTGTGAAGGCAAGCTTTTACCAGCTTCAAACCCTGGTAAAAACAAGACTTTCCTTTTATTCTCAAATTTAAAAAAAGTTATACATGGTTTTATCACTATAAGGCTGGATAATTGCAATTCGCTTTATTTGGGGATCAGTCAATCATCCATAAACCGCCTTCAGATAGTCCAGAATGCTGCTGCCAGAGTTTTGACAGGAGTCCGTAAACGGGAACATATAACTCCTGTCCTTCAGTCACTTCACTGGCTGCCGGTGTGTCACAGAATTAAATGTAAAATTCTGCTATTAGTTTTTAAGTCATTAAATGGGTTAGCTCCGTCTTACCTTTCTGATCTGCTGACAGTCCATCAACCTACAAGAGCTCTTAGGTCTGCGAACTTAGGCCTCTTAGTGGTTCCTAGATCGATATTTAAAACTAGAGGAGATGAAGCATTTTCTATTGCTGCTCCAAGACTTTGGAACAATCTCCCTCTTGAAATTGGAACTGCACCCACCCTGTCCATTTTTAAAGTGAGGTTAAAGACTTTTTTATTTGATCTGTCTTATACAGAATGAATGTAGATGCGGTTGTCCCGTTTGTCCTTGTCTTTTATCTTGCTATGGTTTATTTATTTTTTAACTCCTGCACTCTGTACAGCACATTGGTCAACGGAAGTTGTGCTTAATTGTGCTTTATAAATAAAGTGATTGATTTGCTGATTGTTTAAAGCGTGCACTGAAACTGTTCTAACTCACGGGTTTCCCCCGCTTTCTTCCTTCATTGACCCGCGACGGAAGAAGTGTGCGGTTGATGTGCACGCGGCTATCTCTCTTTACGCGGTCTCTGTCCTTGTGAGGGTTTGTAATGGCTTGTTTCTGTGAGCCTCAGGAGGCTTCCCTAGGCTCCAGTTGGTCTAGAGCCAGTTGCTGATAGTGCGGCGTGTTACATTGCCTCCCCACTGCGTATTACCGGGAACACGTCCCGTAAATCCTGATGTACTTGGTACATCATAAGAAGGATGGCGTCTACGCTAATATTAGTCTCTCTGTTTATCCCGAGGGACCCTCTATGGTGGACCTGCGCCTGGACCCATCCCAACTCATCCTGAAGTGCCAGCCTCATCAGCCCTGTGAAGGCCTCATCGACACGACGGCCGTCGGCTCAACAACTCGTCTCCATACCGGCGTGATTACTTCGACTTCCAACCAGATGGAAATGGATAAATACTCTAAATGTTCCGATCCAATCTGACTTGAACTTGTAATGCTGCCCGAATCATACACTGTTCCTTCGTTGGCCAGAGGAGAACTGGCCCTCCGACTGAGTCTGGCTTCTCCCAATGTTTTATTCGTCCCATCCCTGTGCGTGGAGCCGACCAGATGAACCAGTTGTTTCCAGTAGGGATGTAACGATTCACTCGCAACCGGTTGAAAATTGATAAAAATGTGTGACGATTCAAGTCGGTTGAAATGTGAAACGAATCGCGATACACGTTTTAAACAGCAGGCGCGTTTACTGTAAAGCCTACTGTGAAGTTGTGAACCTCGCTTTACCGGCACAATAGCAGCGAGCACACACTGGCGTGAAGCTAGCGAGTGTTTTCACTTCATTCATGGAACTTGATCTTGTGTGAGCCCAGCTCAACTTCCATAGGAATGAACTGAAAACGCTCGGTTTGCTCCGCTTGCGCCGCGCCAGTGTGTGCCATAGACTGGTGTGCACGCGCCGTCAAACAGTAGACATGGCGACGGCAAGCGTATGTTGACGTTAACTCATTCAAATCGGAGGTGTGGCGGCATTTTGACTTTCCGTAGACTAATAATCACCACCGTGAGAAGCACCAGTCACCTCTGTTTTCATGTAAAAGTCATTAATACGACAATTGCGAGAGCCACGGAGATCACAAGGTGCATCAGTGTTTCCGTGGCAACCAGGTGTTGTATTTATTTTACTATCTCTTTCTCTTAATGTGTTTTTTTAACTCTTACTAGTGTAATGATACAAATTATAACAAAATTAGAATCTTGCCTTTATTAGCTACTAGAGCCCGACCGATATGGATTTTTGGGGGCCGATGCCGATACCGATATTAGGGAGTAAAAAAAGCCTGATACCGATATATCGGCCGATATTATTTATGTGTATATTATAATACAGTAGCAATATTATTTATGTGTATTATAGTACAGTATACCAGTCAAAAGTTTGGACACTTTCCTATTGGTGTGTACAAACTTTTGATGGGTACTTTACACAGTATAAACAGAATAAATATATTTTATAAACACGTTTTGCAATGATCACTCAAATGTGGTGATCAAACACTTGTGTGACACAGATATGTAATGGAGGCAGGGGGAATGATAGAATGAGAATTATACAGCTGAGCTGGAACCAAACTAGTTTGCATTGCATGTTATATTATATTATATTCTAATACTGTTGC